TCTGGTACCCCTACGATGTGGATGTTGTCATGTTTTATGTTGTCTCACAGCTCCCTTAAACTTTCCTGCTTTTTAACATTTTCTACTTGCTGCTCTGATTGGGTGTTGTTCTTCTATCTTATTTTTTAACTCACAGATTTGGTCCTCAGCTTCTTCTAATCTACTGTTGATTTCTTCCAGGGTATTATTTATTTCATCCATGTCATTCTTCATTTCCCATTGATTCTTATTCATGGCTTCTGCATCTGTTTTTATGCTTATTGTAGTTCCTACTGAGCTCCTTATACCTCTCATTAAGTTGCTTTTAGTTCTCACTACATTGTTTGAGCACCCTTAAAACCATTACTTTGAATTCTTTATCTGATAGATTGCTTGCCTCCCTTTCATTTATTTCCTTTTCTAGTGATTCCTCCTTTTCTTTCATTTAGGGGTTGTTCCTTTGTCTCACCATTTTAGCAGTCTGGTAGTTGGGCCAGATGAGACGCACCAGGTCACGTTGACAGGTCTGTATTTCCAGGGGTATCAGGTCATGGCAGAGCCAAATCTTGGATCCAGTCCAGTTGTCTGGGAGTGTTGGCGACTTGCCGCAGCACTGGTGGAGCCAATGGCTCTCAGTGGCAGTGGTGGTTCTAGGCAACTGTGGCAGCGGAAGTGGGGCTGATAGCTGTAATAAGGGCCTTTGGGCTGGTGGCTCTGGGTTGGTGCTGGGCTGGCTGGGCTGGTGGCTCTCATCCGCTGCGGTGGCCAGCAGGGCTGACGGCTGGAAACTCACTTCTGCAAGTCCCTCAGGGACACGGTTGGCATCCTCTGGTCAGATGAAGGTGTGGCAGAGGCCATTGGTCCAGCAGGGGAGGGTGCAAATATGGCCTCGGGGTGCTGGGACTTGGCCACTCCCTACTGCCTCCTTCCAAGGAGGATCCAGTGATTCCTCCAAAATGTCAGTGCTTTCCATCCCCAAATGAGGAGAAGCACTCTGCCAAGCATTGCACAGCAGCAGCCAGCAGCTCCCCCATCCAAAGTACCAGAACTGGCTGCCCTAAGTTCCTGCACTGACAGGCAGATGCTCACCCACACTCACATCCACTCACATTCTCTCTCAGTTTTGCTCATCCATTCACACGCTTACCCTCACTCCAGTCTTGCCTGCCACTATGTTGAATCGAGATATATATATATAATTGATTTATAGAGAGGAAGGAAGGGAGAGGGCAAGAGACGAGAGAGAGAGAGAGAAAGAGATACACCTATGTGAGAGACAAAAATGGGTCGGTTGCCTCCTGCATATGCCCTGATCCAAGATTGAACCCACGACCCTTTGGTGCACGGGATGATGCTCCAACTAACTGAGCCACACTGGCCAGGGCAACATAAAGCATTTTAACATGGGTTTCATTCAGTAGGGTTCAGTATCTGTTTGTATCTTTATATAAAATTCAAATATTTTCAGTATACACTCACTGGATTTTTTTTTCTTGTAGTGTGTTTATTAACTTTGGTATCATAATTATGTTAGTCTCAATGGATAAATTGGGATGTATTCTTTCCCATTTTATGAAAATGTGTATAAGATTTTTGTTACTTCCTTAAATGTTTGAGAGTATCCACCTCTGTAAACTGAGTAAGGAGGTTTCTTTGTAGGAAGACTTTTTCTTGAAAATTCAATTAATGGGTATAGGACAATTCATATACTTTTTCTTTCATCTTGTATCATTTTTATAAACTATTCTTTGTAAGGAATTTGTCCACTTTATCTACATTGTAATTCTCTATCACTTGTATTTTTTCTGTTTTTTATCATTTTCTTCCTCTTACATACTTTGGATATAATTTGTTCTTTTTCCAGCTTATGAGAGGAACAGCATTAATTTTTTAATCTTTTCTACTGGAAAACATTTAAAGCTATATAATTGCTTCTAAGCATGCTTTTTCTTAACAGCTAAACATCTTCTCAGTGCAAATATTATAATATCATATTTGATATATTGTATCTTTGTTTTCCATCAGTTGAAAGTAATTTCTGTTTTCCCTTATGGTATTGTTATTTGACCTATGGGTTATTTAGAAATATTTGTTTAATTTCCAAATATTTGGTACTATTCTAGGTATATTATTTTTACTGATATCTAATTTCATTTTGCTCAAAGAACATACTATGTAAAATTCCAATCTTGACAGTCAATTGACACTTACTTTGTAGCCCAAGATAGGGTTTCCCTTGGTGAATATTCCATGTATTCGCGAAAAAAAAAAAAAAAATGTTTGGTGTAATGTTCTGTAAATGTCTCACTTTTGTGTTAATTGTGCCAGGGTGGTTGATAGTGGTGAATAATGGCCCCCAAAAGATGTCCATGACCTAATCCTCAGAACCTTTGAATATCTTACTTTACATGGTACAAGTATCTTATAGACAGGGAGATTATCCTGAGAGCTCAGTATTCATAGGGTTCTTATAAAAAGGAATCAAGAAGGTCACAGCAGAAAAGAGATGGGACAATGGAAGCAGAGGTTGGGATGTTGCACTGAAAATGGAGGAAGGAGTTATGAGCCAAGAAATGCTGACAGCTTCTAGAATCTGGGAAAAAGGAAACAGACTCTCCTCTAAAGTTTCCAGAAGGAATGCAGCCCTGAAAACAATGTGATCTTGGCTTGGTGAAACTGATTTCAAATTTCTGTTGTTTTAAACTACCACGTGTGATAACTTGTTATAGCAGCCTCAGGAAACTTATACAGAATATAGTACCAGGGTATGTGAGATTCTGCTTTAACAAATAGCTAAAAATGTGGAAGTGGATTTGGAATGGGGTAATAGATAAAAGCTAGAAGAATATTTAGGAGCATGACTTTTTTTAATCCTGGATTGCCTTGAATAGACTCTTAGTAGAAATGTGGATGTTAAATACTACAAATTAGGGCTCAGAAAAGAAATGAAGAGCCTCTTAGAGAAAACCTATATATAGTCATAGACAATTTCTAAATCTTCATAAAAAGACTTTGTAGAGTCAAGCCAGTGTGGCTCAGTAGTTGAGCATCGACCCATGCACCAAGAGGTCATCGGTTCGATTCCCAGTCAGGGCACATGCCCAGGTTGTGGGCCCGATCCCCAGTCGGGGGCATGCAGGAGGTGGCCAGTCGATGTTTCTATCTCTCTTTCTTCTCCCTTCCTCTCTCTCTCAAAATCAATAAAGAAAAAAAAATTAAAAACAAAAAAAGACTTAGTAGAAACGTGGACATTTAAAGGCACAGTTGGTATGGACTCAAAAGGAAATGAGGAAAGGGTATTCATGCTACATTGTGGCAGGAAGCTTAGCTGAATTGTGTGTTCTACAGTGATAAAACAGAAAAACAAAATTTGTAAGTGATGAACTTGGATTTTTATTAGATTAACTGTTTTTTATCCAAGTGTGGAAGGTTTGACTTGGTTTCTTGATTTTTATAGTAAAATGTGAGAGGGAAGAGAGAAATCTAAGGAGGAATTATTTAGCAAAAAGAAACCAGGAGGGCTTGATTTGGAAAATTCTGAACCTATCCAGATTGCAAAAGACCCTAAAGATAGGAGGTTCTGTGTCAGAAAAGCATGGTCTAGAGAGAAAGCCAGTGGTGTATCAGGACAGGCTTTTGTTAGTACTTTGGAAAGATCAAAAGATCAGAGTATTCAGTCACGCAGACAGCTCTCTGCAGAGATTAGGCATTTGACTATCTTTCAGCAGGCATTTACCCTGTTTAGGTTCAGTGTGTAGGTCCTGGACTTCCTGGGTGAGCTATAGTCCATTGACAGTTTACTTTTCAAAATTCTTGCAATGCTATTCTGATTGGCTTTATTCTGACTCCACCCGACCTCCTATTCAATTTCTGCAGGTGCTGCCTGGACTCCCCAGTGACCTTGGGTGGGAAGTTTAGAAAATGTTGGCCTATGGTCACTGCCACTGCAGTAGATTGGGCCTGTAGCTGCCCCAGATGTGAAGAGACACTGTTGGTGCTTCAGTAGTTCACACTCACTGCTGTGTCCAGTATGGGATGATGGCACCACTGACACTGCAGTGGTGATTGATTCCTAATTGGCTTTTGCTAACATTGCTACTGCAGCCACTTAGGGCCACTGCTACCCTAGGTGTCAGGTGGGGAGCCAGCTGACAAAGTTGCTGGAGTGTTTCTGGCTGCTGATTCTGCAGGTATGGAGTGGGACACAAGCCAACCCTGCTCTATGTTTGGAGAGGACAGGTTCCTAGACTTTCTGACATCCAGTGCAGGATATATAGATAATAAAAAGAAAACTCAGGGAACTGCCTGGCCATTGTGGCTCAGTGGTTGAGCATCAACCTATGCACCAAGAGGTCGCTGGTTCGATTACTGGTCAGGGCACATTCCTAGGTTGTGGGCCTGATTCCCAGTGGGGGACATGCCAGAAGAGGCCAGTTGATGTTCTCTCTCATTGATGTTCTCTCTCATCGATGTTTCTCTCTCTCCCTTCCTCTCCCATCCTTTCTAAAATCAATAAAGGAAAAAAAAACTCACGGAACTCACTGTGGTGTTGCTCCTCAGACTTGAGGTCCCCGAGCTATCTGCCCTTTTCTTTCCACCTTTCAGAGGCATTTTATGATTATCTGTTGAATTATATCAAAGGTATTTAGTTGTGCTTAGAACGGAGGAGCTGTGAAAAGTGAACCTTTGCCACCTTGTCCTTGAATACCAGTATTTTTGCTATTATTTTCCAATGTTTGCACCTATTTCTACATATAAAATCTGTACATGTAATATAACATTTCAGAAAACTTCCTTTGTGCACCTGCATTTTTGTTCATGTTATCCATCAGAAAAGCCCATGAGTTAGGTAATCAGTTGATCCTTTTGTATTGATTAATATACACAGATATTTTAAATACTGAAAGTTCTCAACCAAAGCATGGACCAAATATAGCTCCAAGTCTAAATCTTCAGTTTTGTATGGAAGGACACAATTGGTAACCCTCCCCTCAACTGCTTTTACTTTACCCAATTAACAGGTTGCAAATTCAGTAACTCTGAATTTGGATAAGAACCCAGAGTCAGTTAATAGTCCAGATGAAAGAAAGACTTCTGTAAACTCTGAACCTTCTAACCCTTCAGAAGAAGCAACTGAGAAGATTGATTTGTCACAGGATCATTATGAGCCTGTTTCTGAAAGGTAGGCATTTCCATAAAAATGCATAAACTTATTTATCTAAATATATGCTTGCAAACATATACTTTTTTGTTAATTAAACATAAAATAGCCTAAAGTTTCATATTTATAAGAACACCTTTTTTTTTTATTATTATTATTGTGAAGGAATGGAATTGGTTCTCCAAAGCTTTTATTGTTGTTTTAACAGTACTAAATAAAATTTTGAATTGGCTAGGTGTCAGGTTTTTATTGTAATGCTTTCCAGCTTCAGTATGGTGTCTGGAGAGATCAACTGGAGCACTCCAGTAGTTTCCAGTTCTATACATGGAAAAGCCAAGACCCTATGAAACAGTGGTTTAAAAAATTACACAGAGGAGTAAGTAAGACTAGAGAAAAAGTGCCTAAAATTTCACATGTTGAAAGTAGTATCATGACAACTTCAAATTACAATGAACAGATTAAATTATTACATGACTGAGTCACACAGCAGTTGAGACACCTTATCTCCAAACTAGTCTAAAGGATTTGGGGTTTATAGGAAAGAACTACTTTAGTTTAACAAAGAAACATAATTAGTGCATTTTAATGAATTATTTTCTCTTCACTGGTGATTCTCATCTGTTTGAGTCTTTATATTATTATTTATTTATACTTAACATTTACCCCTTAAAATGTCCTATGGTTTTCTGTTTATATGGTAAATTATACCTCACCTTTTAAAAAGAGGAAACTATATAACCAGATTAAGTAATTAAATAATGGCCATCATTTGAAGAGCACACCCTTTCCTCCAAATTACTATGCATACCGAAGGATGCTATAAAACAAAGGAGAAGCAGAACTGATTTACACCATTTGCAGTAGATTCTTGGTGTTTGGGAATATACATGCAGTTTTGGGGGGAAAAAATTATAGTCCATGGTATTGAGGCCCACATTTTAATTATAAACCAGGAAGCTGCTATGAAGAAGACATTTATTTAGTTGTTGAAAGCAAGAATCACATTTTAGTGAGTCTTTGTTATTTTCACTTGTTGATACATGTGCTAATACTCATCAAGTGACAAAAAGAAAAACTCTGATGACAAGTGAAAAAGTGAAGACAAGGCACCATTAAAAATAGCATTTATTGACTATGTCAAATTTATCAGTGGCTTATATCTGTGATATGAACATTCCACTTCAGCTCCACCATAATGAATAAAGAAACTACAGTTTATGAAACTGTTTCAGGCAGCACTCTCAGCCATGATGAGTGTGAGAATAGGTGACAATGACCCTGATGGATGAGTCCAGTGGTGAGTTTTATAAAACATTTAAGGAAGAAACACCACCAGTTTTAAGCTACAGCAGGTACTCTAATAACATCATTTCATTTAACCTTGTTTTCTTATGTTGAGATGCTGTAAGAATTTAATTCTTGTTTATATCAGTTACCCTATGGTAAAGTTAGCTTTGTTATAGTTTGTTTGCTTAAAGTCACAGAACCTAGTAACAATGTTAAGAGGACTTTCTGTTTTCCAAAGAATAAAGAGGGAATATTCTTCAGTTGGTTTTATCAGACCAGATGCTAAAATCTAATAACTCTGATACTCCCAATATAAAAATTTTACAGAAATGGAAAATTACAGTCTATTTTTATCTATGAAATAAGTGAAAATATCTTAAACAAGATACTCATAAGCCAAGATCAGCAATCCATAAAAGTTGTGTGTGTCTCAGGAATGCTGCAAGGTTGATCTAACAACAAAGTAATGTAATTTGCCAGGAGGAGAATCACCAGCTTACAATAAACGTAGGAAAAAGAGCATCTACAAAAATCCTAAAACAAATCCGATGGTGAAATATTGGAAATATTCCCTTTGAAATACAAAATAAAAGGATGCCTGCTGTCACTACTTTAACATTATACCAGACATCTTACCTAATGCAAAAATGTAAAAAAGAAAGAAAACTAAATATATAAAAAATTGAAAAAGAAGGGCCCTGGCCCATGTTTCTCAGTGGTTAGAGTACTGGCCTGTGGACCAAAGGGTCATGGGTTTGATTTCCGGTCAAGGGTACACACCTGGGTTGCAGGTTCAATCACCAGCCTGGGTCGGGGTTTGTTCAGGAGACAGTCAGTCTCTCTCTCTTCTCCCCTCCCCTCCCTCTCCCCTTCACTCTCTCTTAAAAAAATCAATGAGAAAAAGTCCTCAGTAAGGATTAACCAAAAAAAAAACACAAATATTATTACTATTCTTTGATGATTCAGGGTATGTATATAGAAAATCCAAAAGAATTTGCAGATACATTACTAGGATTCATAAGATTTTAACCAGATTGCCAAACTCAAATATATAAGAAATCAATTGTATTCCTATATATCAGATATAAACAATTAGGAAATGAGATTTTTAAGAATTCAGATAACACCAAACATAAAAAGCACCTAGGAATGCATTTAACAAGACATGGTAACTGAAGCAAATTACAGAACTTTGAGAGAGATTGAAGAAGAAGATAGATAAAGTTAGTGTGTTTATGGTTTGGACAATGTAATATTATAAACTTTTATTTTTGTTTACATTAATTTATAGGGTAACATTTCAATCAGTTTTTCAGTGTTTAATTTTATGGAACTTGGCAAGCTTATATGATTCTAAAATGTACATGTACGTACAATAGGTTAAGATCCTTTAAGTAGAGAAACAAAATGGAAGGAATTACCATCAAATGTCAGAACATTACAAGACTGCAGTGTATAGGATAATGTGATATTGCCAAACAGAGCAGTGTAGCAGAGTCCAGTAACCTATACACACACGCACACACGTATATGTGATATATGATGAAGATTATTTGGCAGATCATTAGGGAAATGATTGACTTTCAATAATGGTGTTGTTAATTTGCTATTCATTTGGGTAGAATATGAAAGATACTGGATCCCTATGTCAGGCTATACAAAAAAATCAATCTTGTAGATTAAAGAACTGTCTAAAAAAAATTATGAGACAGTAATATAGAATGTCTTCATGAACTTCAGATAAGGAATGATTTCTTAAGATACAAATACTCTTGCCCTGGCCGGTTTGGCTCAGCGGTTAGAGCGTCGGCCTGCGGTCCAGAGACCCAGGTTCAGTTCCCGCTAAGGGTGCGTACCTCGGTTGCAGTTTGTCCCCGGCCCTGGTTGGCCGTGCAGGTGGCAGCCACTCGATGTGTCCCTTTCACATCAATGTCTGTCTGTATGTCTCTGTCTCTCTCTCTCCCTCTCTCCCTCCCTCTCCCTCTCCTCTGTCTTCCCTCTACTCTATCTGAACAAAAAAATGGAAAAATGTCCTCAGGTGAGGGTGAAAAAAAAAAATACTCTTGCTGTAAAAGAAAAAAAAAAGATAAATTTTACCACATTAAAATTAGAAACTTCTTGTCTCAAAAGGCACAATAAAGACAGTGAGAAGCCCAGCCAATGTGGCTCAGTGGATTGAGCGTCATCCCATGGACTGAGAGGTCCTAGTTCGATTCTCGTTCAGGGCACATGCCTGGGTTGTGGGCTTGATCCCCAGTAGAGGGCTTGCAAGAGGCAGCCATCGGTATACCTCTTTCACATAGATGTTTCTATCTTTCCCTTCCTTTCTCTCTAAAAAATCAATAAAAACATATATAAAAAATAGAAGACAGGCCATAGATTGGGAGAAGATACTTGTAGCACATATAACCTGTTGGGGACCAGTACCCAGAATATATATAAAGAACTTCAACATATCAATGAGTAAAAACAGATAATACAAAAGAAAAATGGGCAAAATACTTGTACATCTACTTAACAAAATAGGAATTCCAAATGGCCAATAAACATGAAAAGATGCTCATCTTCATTAGTAATCAGGGAAATGCAAATTAAAACCACAATCAGACACCATTTCATATCACGTAAGGAAGACATTTTAAAATCTGACAATACCGGGTATAGGTGAGGTTTTGAAATAAGGTCAGTTGGTTTTATTTAATATTTTGTTGTTGGTTGACTAGATTGGTATAATATTTTAGGGGGAAAATGGCATTATCTAGAAATTTTGAAGATGCTAGCATTCCCATCCCTCAATATATATCCTAACTAGAAACATGTACACACACACACACGAATGTTTATTAGCAGCATGTTTCATAATAGCCAAAAACCAGAAGAAAAAAAATGTTCATCTACAATTGAAAAGAAAAATAAATTTCAGTAAGACCATACAGTGGGATTCTGTACATTAGTGAAAATGAAGGAATTGTGGTCACATGCAACAAATAGTATGAGTTCCCATAAAACATTGAAAAAGAATAGTATGATTCCATTCAAATGAAGTTCAAAAATAGCTAGAAAAAAATATAAAGTACATATATAATAGCCAGAATATATATATAACTTAGGAATTCAGAGAGTAAGACATGAAAATTAACACCACAAATGCTATTTTGGGAGGAGATTTATGATATAGGATGGAGGCATACAGATTTCTGAAGTGCTGATAATTTAAAATGTATGTACCTGAGTGGTGGTTATGTGGGTGCTAGTTTAACTTATTAAACTGAACATGTATTTTTAATTCAATTTGAAAATATCTATTTGAAATTTTAGATTTTTTATGTTTTATATAATTCTACTGACATGAGTTCATAACTACAGTACAGTCTTACTTCTTGTTTTCTATTTGTCCCATATGTCTTATGGTCCTTTTCCCTATATGTGTCTCTCTTTTTATTTTAGAATTCTTGTGGATCTTTTCTCTCCTTTCCCCATTACCTTGTTAATATACATCTTTCCTTGTTTCTTTAGAAGTTATCCTAAAAATCATGATATGGATTCGTGATTCTAATACTAGTCTATTATGAATTGCTACTTTTACCATTTGTAGGCAGTGCTTAACTTTAAAACTCTATTTACTGCCCTCATCTTTTGTGTTTTCATGCATTTTAATTTTACATTATTTAAAATCTCATAAAATAATATCACTATGTTGTACAGTCATTATTCAGAGTTGCCCAAATATTTAC